GAGAGAGAGAGAGAGAGAGAGAGAGAGAGAGAGAGAGAGAGAGAGAGAGAGAACATGCTTAAGTGTAGCATGGATATACATGTGCCTTTGTGTGTGCATTTGTGCACAAGTGTTTATGGCATGCGACTGCTTGTGCATGTGTGTGGCATTGGGAGGTGTGTGCGTGAGTGCTTAAATCTGTGTGACATGTTAGTGTATCTTTGCATCTTGAGGTATGAGTGTGGGTGTGGTGTGTATGAGCTTTTGTGGGTGACAGGAGTGTGTGTGTGTGTGTGTGTGTGTGTGTGTGTGTGTGTGTGTGTGTATGTGTGTCACTTTCCTCATAGCCCTCTCCAGAGGGCCGCCTCGGCCTGGGTGACCCACGTTTCCCGAGTGAGAATCCACCTCCCACTCAGTACAAAGAGCCCCAAACCCAAGCAAGCTCCACCTGACTTCAGAGCCCCAAAGGAGAAGAGACGCCTAGGTTGAAACCCAGCGCCTGGATCTTCATTCTTCACATGTGGAGGAGGTGACCTTTATGAAATACCATGCTCCGGGCTTCAGGGAGACTCCTCTGCATTATTCTCTTCATTACTGGAAGAAAATGCTTCTGCATGTTTAATTAATGCCAGTGAGTCTGCACTTCCAGAGAGGTGGGTACTAATTGGTCCAGCAGGGTGTCTGTTACACTGAAGCCTTAAAGTGGGAGGGCTTTAGTTCTTCCTGGACCAGAAGAGCCAGCCAGGCCAGCAATGGAGGCACTGAGCTGCTTAGTCCCAGTAGAACCACAGAAAGGAAGGGTTTCGAAACCAAGGCCCGTCCCTGAACGCTGGCTTCCTTATCTGCAGAGTGAGGGTGAGGACGCGAGGTCTGGAGGAGCGCCAGCCAGATTAGATTCTGTAGTGCTTGTTAGTATTTGGTCAGCATTAGGAAGTCCCCCCCGCTGGAAAGCTGGGTTAATGGACAATTTGGATGCTCAGTCTTGTGATATGGCTAAAAAAGATGACAGGGAACCCTGAGGGGGAAATCTACCTACTTCAGCAAGTTTGGGGTTTCATTTGGTTCGAACGGGAGGAGGTGAGCCAGAGACAGAAATGTCTGGTGGATAAGTTTTTCCTGACTCCTACATAATCCTTATCCATCTCAGTAAAGGATTTACCATCTGTGACTTCCAGTTTGAAGGATTTAGAGGTACCTGGTTTTCAACAGTAGGGTACAGAGTGTGTGTGTGTGTGTGTGTGTGTGTGTGTGTGTGTGTGTGTAATGGAAAACTGCCTTTTTCCATGGCAAGAGTTGCAGGATTCAAATTGGCAGCGTAGATGCTCACAACCCCATGGCAGCCAGAAGGCCCTTTCCAAAGGAGCTCTTCCCACTGGAGGGATGCCAGGGGCCCTGCCAGGTTGGGAGGAGGCTCAGGGTGAGCCCTAGCCTCAGCGCTGAGATGGCAGAGGACAACCTCTTGCCTTTGGCTGTGTTTGCATTCCAGCTGACAGGAGCCTGGCAGGCCCTCCCCACCTCAGTCACCTGGCCTGGCCAGCAGCCTATGTGTGGTGCCATGTCTGATGTGAACAGAAGGAATGGGATGGAACCTCTGGGAACATCGCCTGCCTGCCGCCATCAATCTTACCTGCGCAAGTGGTACCCACCCAGACCTGAGGGAGGGTGGCCTAACCCATGCCCAGACTCTCCCTTTGGACTACCTTCCTTTCTGAGAGGAGCGGGGTGGGGGGGGGGGGGGGGGGGGGGGGGGACTGGCGTCACCAAGCACTGAGCCTTGTTATCAGACTATCAGACAGCACCTGACGACGTGAGACGGGGAACAGACGGCCCTGCATCTTGGTCGGGTGGCAAATCCAACAGTCAACGTAGCCACGGAAGGTAGGGCAGAGTCTTCAGCAGTGGTGAAGGGTGGGCGGCGGCAGGCAGCGTTTGGTGCCGGAGCCTGAAGAAGGCAAGAGGAAGGTTGACCGTCTAGCCTGGAGAAAGACTCCAGACTGGTTCTGACTCAGGTGCCATCGTTAAGAGGTGTGGATCAGAGGGGGGGCGGGGTGCTCACCCCGGAGACATCCTGACTCACTCTGGGCACTTAGCTGGCCACGTGGCCTCATCATCTTGCACTTAGTGAGAGTTACCAGAGCCCCGAGCCATTTCCTGATGCGCAAAACAAATATTTGAGTTTGGAGGGCTGAGTGAAGCTGCAGGATGTTTGGTAGATTTTTTACATTCTCTGCTGCACCTAGAAGCCCTTGGGGAGCTTGGTCCTCGGCAGTCCACACAGCAACCTTGCTCTGCAGGTAGAGTGGAAGCCAATGACTTCATACATTAAGAATGTCCTCCCTGGCTGGCTCCTTCGCTGTCTGTGTGATCGGTACCTAGACAACGTTTTTTTCAAAAGCACCTCTCCCCCAGCCGACAGCCCGCCAGAGGGGTATTTATGTGACTGAGGATATCTCCTCCAGCTGTCTGTGGTCCTGATGCTAGACTGGTCTTCTCTAGCCCAGGGACAGGAACCACCAGCAAGCAGGCTCTGCTGGCAGACATCATGCTGACTCCGTCCCTGCTAAGAGTGATATGTGATCAAGGTGGCTTACTCAGCTTTCCAGAGGCATCAGCTTCTCGACCTGTGAAATTATTCTCAGGGTCAAGTCCCACTAAGCTGCGAAGTTTAACTAGGTCTGGAGTGAACTGAGGGCCGGAGTGCGTGGGACGACCCCAAGTCTCATCTGGGTTGAGTCTCCTTGGGAGTGTGAAGGTTGTAAGGGACCATGTCCTATACTTAAGTCAGAGCTCAGGGTCTGGAGTAAAGGGGGCCAGTTCTCGGCATCACCTTGACAGTTCATGGATCCTGTGTGAAGATTTTGCAATCACATTCCGCGGTTGATTGGCAAGGTGGCAGCAGACGTGAGCCGCCATCCCTGAGCCAGGAGAAACTAGAAGAACGCAGGAGGATATCTAAGGCGAACAGAGAGAAAGCAGTGTCTGGCAATATAAACTCGCAGAGCTTTTCTTACGATGGGACATCGTTTATACAGTACTCACGTCTAGAGAACACCTTGCTCTCTTCTTTCCCCGCTCCCTCTCTCTCTTCGTCCCTCAGATAACGTTTCTTTTGCCTTGCACACTAGCCGCCTTGTCTCAGATTTAAAGTACCATCTCTCTCCCCACCCCCATACTGGCAGTAGAATTCCTTGGTTCAACTTCTGGAGTTACATAAGTCCGGAGGGATAACTGAGTCAGCACCAGGGCCCTGACTCAGCGCTCCAAACTGGCTACCACGGGGCCAAATTCTCCAGTCTTGACTTTGGCCAAATTCCCATCGAAATGCAATGCCCAGTAAGTATTAATAAATTGATACATAGCGTTATAGATGGATTTTAAAGGGATAGAGAGCAAGAGATGAGCATCTCAATCTCCTCGTCGGCCCTCACGTTTACAGGGGGTACTGGCTGGGGGCCACTTCTCAGGCAGGTACGGGCAGACACAGGCAGGCAGACCACCCCCCATGTGTGACCTCTCCTAGCTCTTTCCTCTCATGATCATGGTTTCAAGTCCACCTTTCACCAAGGGCCGGAAGGAGAAAGGAGAAATGGAGAGCTGGAGGGAGCTTATGTGTCCATCCACCCCGACCACTCACCACCACTTGGGATTTTTATCTTCTAGCATTTTATGTGCTGAGTTAACTCCCAACAAACATTTTAAGGTTATGAGAAATCAGGGTAACCAGAAAAGCACTTAAAAATGCCGAGTCACGAGAGGAGCTTAGGAGGGGTGATGGGGGGAGGAGCTTAGGGAGTTAGGAGAAATGCCCATTTCTGGGAATTAACGGTGGAACAATCTGCAAATTGGTCCCCTACAAAAGCATAACTCTAAAAAATAAAGGGACAAAGGGGCTGGTGGCGGAAATGCCACCTCACTAATGGTTTAGAAGGACTCTTCCATCCCGGGTCTACTTGACAGTCCCATGGGGATTATATGATCAATGGGGACCCTCCCTTTGGAGGATGTTGAGGGGAATAGAACTCAGGCAATGATCATTTTAGGGGTTCTCTGATTATTCTGACGCACAAGGAGGGCTCAGCGCACCCAAAGACGGGGAGCTCTGTTTTCTTCGCCCATCGAGGAAGTTGGGAGACAATGCTCCAAAAGCTGAGACCTGCTAAAGACTTACATGAGATGTGCTTTTGGGTACCAGTAGGAGGAGCCACCACTCAGACCGTGTGGGTGAAGCTGTGTGTGCACTTGGCATTGTTTGCATCCCACCCTGACCCCGGGCAGGACACACTACGATCAGCCGTAATTCACAGATAAGGCTTCCAGAAACACAGTCACAGTCACGTGCCCAAGGCCAACCAATGAGATCTGAGATGGTGCACGCCGCCACCAGGGAAGCATGGGAAACGTCAGGGTAAGTGGGATACAGGCTGACGGAGACTGTCACAGAAGCACACAGTGTGTCAGGACCACGGGAGTAAGAGATGAGGACAGGCTTTCCACAGTGGAGTCGAACCAGCCCTCACAGGATGCACTCCAGATGCTATGAGACAGAGATGGCCGTGAGGTGGAGGCAGGAGGGGGAGCCCTAGGGAGACAGCTTAGGGTGCAGGGAACAAACCCAGAAACGGCACAAAGCCCAGATGATGAGAAAGAGAAAAGGCAGTGTGGCTCAACAGTTAGACATGCTCTGGCTTCTCCTGAAAGGACCCTGGTTCAGTTCCCAGCGCCCACGTGGTGGCTCATAATTGGCTGTAACTCCAGTCCCAGCAGATCTGATGCCTTCTTTTGGCTTTCAAGGGCACCAGGCACTCACACGGTACTCATACACACATGTAAGCAAACACTCATTGAATTTGTTTTTAATTATACAAAATAGGGGAGCTGGAGAGATGGCTCAGTGGTTAAGAGCACTGGCTGCTCTTCCAGAGGTCCTGAGTTCAATTCCCAGCACCCACATGGAGGCTCACAACCAGCTATATGGGATCAGATGCCCTCTTCTGACATAAAGGTGTACATACAGATAGAGCACTCACAGACATAAAACAAATAAATCTTAAAAGGGGATCTTTAAAAAAAAAAAAAAAAAAAAGCCAGGCAGAGGTGGCGCACTCAGCACTCAGGAGGCAGAGCCAAATGGATCTCTGTGAGTTCGAGGCCAGCGTGGTCTACAAAGTGAGTTCCAGGACAGGCACCAAAACTACACAGAAAAACCCTGTCTCAGGAAGAAAAAAAAAAAGGACTGGTGAGATAGTTCAGTGGTTAAGAGCACTGGTTTCTCTTGCAGAGGATCAAGGTTTGGTTCCCAGTGCGCATGGCTTGTGTTCACAACCATCTGTAACTCCAGTTCCGGGGGATACAAGGCTCTCTTCTGACATCGAGAACATCGGGCACACACATGGCACACATGTAGGCAAAACACTCACACACATAAAATAAATCTTTACAAATAACTTTAACTTAAAAATGAACAAATCTTTTTTAAAAGGCAAAGTGACTAGAAAGGCCAACTGCCCTAAATTGTGGGATCACTGAAGGGGTCTAAGGGGCGATAACGCAATGCTGCATGTTTCTGAGTAGTGTGTGATACAGCCACTGAGTCAGGAGCAACCACAGAAGGCTGAGGGCCCTTGGGGAGCCAAGCAGGTCCAGCCCGCTGGGCTCCCAATGAGTCCGGGAGGAAGGCAAAGGATCCTGGGACATCAGGAGAGCACTTCACATCCAGCCCTGAGGTGTGGGCTGGCACAGAGCTACTTTGCACACAGCCACAAAATCTACCTCCCTGTTGAGAGCCTCGGGCCTGGCTCAGCTGGACCTCTGAACCCTCCTTGTGGGTCAGCGTCGGCTCCTTACTGTCTGCGCACACCGGGGCAGTTCTTAAACGGAGAGCGCAGCTGCCGTCTCTCTGTGTAGAGGATTCCCACTGTGCATGTATTTGTGTAGACATCGGACTTCCTCTCAGTGTCTAGGATGACACTTAATACTTGAGTCTCTCGTCAGAAAGTGAGAGCACAGGATGCTGTCCTAGGCATGACTTCCTCACATGTACATACAGTAGAGTTCTTCAAAAATTCCATTGGAGAACTTCCATCAGAACCTGGAATTCTGGGGCTGTGCTAGTCATCGCCAACTAAAAGTCTTTATTTTATTTTGCAGGGTATTTTTGTTTTGTTTTTGTGTTTTATCTTAAAATGTCATCTATGTTCTATATTCCCGCAAGGCATGCAGCCCTTCCTGTTAGGATGTACCCAGTTTCTCCTGTGACTTTGGTGGTGACTTCTGGCTCACACCATGGATTCGCTCCTGACAAGTGACCACTCTGATGGTTTCTGTCTAGAGCTGGGTTGTCGGCTTGAACTCGGTCATTTTAAAGACAGCTCAGTGCTATCTATCTTGCTCTGCACTGTCTGTCTCACTGTGCTAAAAAACAAAAACAAACAAACAAAAACCATCACATAATCTTACTTCCTCCTTCTGTTCTATACCGGGTAATAGTTGGCATATGTATATGTTATAATACTCTTTTGGGCCGGGCAGTGGTGGTGCACGCCTTTAATCCCAGCACTCGGGAGGCATAGGCAGGCGAATCTCTGTGAGTTCGAGGCCAGCCTGGTCTCCAAAGCGAGTTCCAGGAAAGGCGCAAAGCTACACAGAGAAACCCTGTCTCGAAACAAAACAAAACAAAACAAAACAAAACAAAACAAAACAAACAAACAAACAAACAAAACTCTTTTGGTAGGACAATGATCTTCAATTAAAATCTCTTTGTTTGCAAGATTCACAGAGGCATTAGGGTTTAGCAGTTAAAAGTCCATTCACAGCTGGGCAGTGGTGGCACACGCCTTTAATCCCAGCACTTGGGAGGCAGAGACAGGCAGATCTCTGAGTTCAAGGCCAGCCTAGTCTACAGAATGAGTTCCAGGACAGCCAGGGCTACACAGAGAAACCCTGCCTTAAAAAACAAAACAAATAAACAAACAAACAAAAAACCAAAAACAACAAAAAAGTCCAGTCATCTCCATAGCACAAAGTCTATACCAAGAGTTATGAATATTAAATCCCTACCACACACACACACACACACACACCAACGAATGTTTTAAGCGATTGGTCCCCAGCTGGTAGTTCTGGGAACTTTAGGTTCTGGGACTTAGCAGGAGGAAGTAAGGCCCCCGGGGAAGCTTCTTGGGAATATTCTGTCCTTAGCTCCCTCCTGTCGCGGTCTCTGCTCTGTGTATACAAAGTAAGGACTGTGCTGCCGCCGCCATGATGTCCCGTCCAAGTTCCCAGGGCTCCGCAACTATCAACTGAACTCTCTGAAGCCATGAGCCAAAATAAGAAATTTTTGCCCCTATAAATAAAAAAATAAATAAATAAATAAATAAATAAATAAATAAATAAATAAAATTAAGCTGGGTAATGGTGGTGTGCACCTTTAATCCCAGCACTCGGGAGGAAGAGGCATATGGACCTCTGTGAGTTCGAGGCCAGCCTGGTCTATGGAAAGAGTTCCAGGACAGCCAAGGCTACACAGAGAAACCCTGTCTCAAAAAAACCAGAATAAATTTATATGAGTGTTCTGTCTGCAGCTATGTCTACACACCAGAAGAGGGCACCAGACCCCATTATAGGTGGTTGTGAGCCACCGTGTGGGTGCTGGGAATCGAACTCAGGAAGAGCAGCCAGTGCTCTTGTGTGGAGCCATCTCTCTAGCCACGGATCTCAATCTTTTAAGTGATCTCTGTCAGGTATTTGGTCAGAGCTCTATGACAGTCACCAGTCCAAGGGAAGACTGAGGAGAGAGACTTGGGGACAGGAGAAAAGGAGCCGTGGTCATCTGAGTGGCACAGGGTGACCACAGGGACTGTCTTCATGCAAAATAGGCACCCTCCACAGAGCTCCATTGCCCCATACCCCACCACGGTGACACACACCTCTGGCTCTCAAGGCTCACGGCCTCAGGTGTACCTGACATTGCTTCTTTCCATTCTAAAGGCCTGGCTCGATCTCAGATCTTCAGCCTCACCTCTGACACACTGGCTGCGGCTTAGCTTCCCCTCTTTTACGGCTCACTCACCTTCATCCCTTTAAGCCACTGGTTGGCTTTTTCTGTTTTGTGCCAGGGTCTGACCCAAGGCCATGTTCATGGTAGACAGCAACTACCTCTGAACTCTCCCCATCTTGTTATCCCATCTCGATGAAGGAGTTAAGAGAGTTCATTTCCCACCCTATCTGTTGCTTCTCAGATTCCTCGACGGATACAGCACCCCCCCCCCCCCCACCCCCCCACCCCCCCACCCACCAGCACCCTCCTCCTCCTCCAGCACCCTCCTCCACCAGCACCCACCTCCTCGCATCTTCTCAAACACCAGGTAGAAGCGGTCCTCTTCCTCAAAG